TTAACCCCTTCTGAGCCGCGCTCGAGTGTGACTCGAGCAAGTTTTATAGCGTTACGTCGTTAAGGCCACTTTTGAAAAAATTATTTTTTTTGAATTTTTGGAATGTTTTTTAGGTCCCCAAATTTTTTCAGAATTTTTTGCGCACGCGAAAAAATTTTATCGCGATTTTAATGAGCCTTTGATAAGGCTCGATTAAGGCTTAATGTTTTTTTAATGGGAGTTTTTTATCAAAATTAATTTATCATTCTAAAGTTGTAGCGCACCGATTTTCCTTCGGTAAAGTTATTTAAAGCTGCTTTCTGATGTCAAAAACGACTTCCGATAGTTTTTTAATTTTTTTAATTAATAGATTTTATTATATAGAAGTTTAATTAATTAGGGGGGGTCGGAAATCGCAATAAAAATTATAATTTTTTTAAAATATTTAAAAATATACCGCCAGATTGAAGTCACCCTACTTTAAACCCTTGTCCTCCCGCGATGTCTATGAGAATGTCCCGGGAAATCGGACTCCAGCTGTGTTCAAGGTCACCCAGCTGTGTAAACAATGACTCATCGGTGTTACATTTCACAGACAGGTGAAACAAAGGAAAATAAAATATAAAGCTTTTTCTTCAAAATTAATGCATTTCTTTCGTGTTTTTTCAGTTTTAAGTATTTTTTATGCTTAATTAAAAATTTTAAAAAAAATGGGCGGCTCAAAGGGGGTTAATAGCATATATCAGCATAAATCTGTATTTTCAGAAAAAAACGTAAAAGAATTGTTTCTGTCAGAAATATAAAAGGCTGGAATTACAAGGGAAAGTTTCAAAGTTTGGGGGAATACTGATCGGATAGATCAGTATATACTGGGTAGAATGTTGATGTCAACGTCTCTCGCGCTTTGAAAAGTTTCAAATTGTTGCCTGAAGACAAAGGAAAACCAATCGGTATTCATTATTTTACGTCGCTTCTTCTTGTTTGTTCAGTGAAGTGTTTGTTATCCGAACATGTGTTCATTGTCCAATCATAAAAATCTTTCGCAAAAGCGTTCGTTATCTAATTTGTTCGTTAACCGATCACCTACTGTATTATGTTTCAATTGATTTTATTTCAATTTTAATTTAAAATAATTAACTTTGATTTTAATGTTAGTTTCAATTTCTGCTTCAGTGTAAAGGCTAGAGTTTTAAATTTATTAAATTTTAATTATTATTATTTTTAGTTTTAATTAACTGGTTACCTAGTTGCATATAAATACAGGTGAATACCCAGTGCAACAACTCTCCCCAAAGACAAGTTGGACATGTCAGCTTATCAGTTTGCCAGCATACTGAATGTCGTGTTAACAGAATTTCACCGTAATAATATTTATCTCAACCTTTTTTTCATCATGGTACACTTTTAATAATTTAAAAATTTGGCAGCATGCATGGTTATTCGGTAAGTACCACAGGACAAACAGTGATGTCATAACAGTGATTTTTAAATAAAGTTGGTTATTTAGGTAACATTTTCTAAATGCCTTGGTAATTACTGGCAGTTACCAGCAGTAGTTGAATCACTGATCTACAAATATTTGAATACCTTATGACATTTTAATGACTTCCCAGGACATTCTCATAGACATCTCGAATATCTTATGACAGGATGTTTAGGGTCATCCTGACACTAAAAATTTTTTAAAGCAAAATAGGGCTTTCCAAATGACAAGTTTTGGTGCCACTGAAATACTTGAAAGAAATTTCATGCCAACATTCAAAATTGAAGAACAGATATATCATTTAATAGTATACCATTAATATGACAAACTATCCATTTGAATGTAAATGCCTACAATTTCCAGTCAGTCTATGCTTTGCAGTGACCATTAATAAGTCTCAAGACCAAAGTCTGAGAGTTGTAGAATTTGACCTGGGATGCAGTTGCTTTTCACATGGCCAACTCTATGTTGCATGCTCAAGTTATTATTAGGAGCAAATCTGTTCATTTGTGCTCCTAATAATAAAGCACAAAATGTTGTATATTGGGAGATTATTTAATAAGTTTATCTAGAAAATATTCCACACCTTTAATAGGAATATAATGAATCTGTAACACAATTCTCTGCAGATATACTCTTTAGGTAAGTAAATATAATTTCATCAAATAAATATCTCCTGTTAACGATGGGTAACACAGCTAGTTATTAAATAATAAGACATTGGTATATTAATCTGTATTGAAATTATTGATGAAGAGATTACATCAGATTAAGTTACTTTATATACAATTTCAAATTTTGGTAGAGTTATAAATATTTATGTTATAACTATGAACTTTACTCAAAAGTTCTTACTTTGACATTTGTTTATTAGAATGTATTAGTAAATGCATTCTAACATGTTAAAAGCACTTACTGTTATAATAAATATAAAATATTATTCAAACTATGTATTATAATAAATAGCAATTTCACTCACCATAGTTTGGCTGACCAGATAATAAATTATACTTATTATTCTGACGTTTTATAATAAATTCATGAAGTTGATGAAAGTCACTTTCATTACACCTGAAAACAAATATTTTTAAAATTAAGTATTCATTAACAAAATTTATTTTTTGGTATGTATTATATACAGTCGACCCCCCTATAACACGGGTTCACATAATGCAGATTCGTATACTGCAGCGAAAAAATTGCGACCATATTCATATAAAGACACTAAAAGGGACTCGTAAAATGCGGTAAAATGTCATCGCCGACTCATGTTGCGACAGGATTGGTCGAATCTGGACCAATAGTGTACAAGCAGCCGAACTACTTACACGCTACAGAGTTTAGGCAGGTAAGTTGAGTTTACTATCGTCTGTACAGTATATAAATTAGGTACTGTAAGTCTAATACAATACTGTAATTTTATACATTTCTTGTGAAAAAAACATTTCTTATTCAACGGCCATAAAAATTACTTCTATTAATGATGTCTCCAAAGTCCAGCGAATTTTTCGAAGAAAAATAACTTATCAGAAAATGCGCCTGCCGTTCAGTGCACTGCTCCGCGACGAAAACAAGCTTAAGCAATGGCATCGTCTAACGATGCACACTCGGTAAGTAATCCTACAATTTTTAGTTTATAGCATAGTTTATATGGATTATTCCCAAAAAATAATACGTGTTTTGGAAATGCTGAGTCAAATTAGTCTAGAATCAATTAATTTTATGGAAGAAAACCTTTCAAACAGCCATAGTCTGCAAACTGCACACGTGCTGGGCTGTGATTGGCTCATGTATTTAAGGATTCCTACAACGTGAAATTCTTATAAAGTGGAACATATCTACTGTGTTATAGGGGGGGTCAACTGTATATATGGTGGAAACAGGACAATGGTGACAGGTCTGAAAATTTATCATTAGATTTCAAGCCAATTAATATGGCAATCCAAAATGCATGTGTATGATGCATGCTCTTTCTTTATTCATGTATTATATGAGCTTGTACTTTATATATTGTATTTTATATAAATCAAACCAATACAAGACTAAATATTAAAAATTTAATGCACAGAAGCATTCTTAATGATATTTTAGTGTAATAAAAACAAATTATTTTTTTCCACACAAGTATTTCCACATTTATTCATATAAGATGTTTTCAAAAATTCAAAGTTTTGAAATAAACTGAACATTTCATTTAGTAGACTTAAATCAATTTAATTTTCATAAATGCAAATTTACTTTTAGACAGCATAAAAGTAAGATGCTAAAAGTAATAAGCTAAAGAAAATAAAAATATTTTTATGATGAAACTATTAAAATTCAAGTAAAATATTTTAAGAGTGTATAATCCAAACATTTTATAATTTATACACTAATTAGTTACAAGAATTATTTCTTTTAATTAGATATGATTCAGATACAAAAAGTGCTTGGAATTCAATAACGAATGTAATGATCATACTTAATTACTTTTGTTTCTTATTTAAGATTAATTTTGATAATGTAATGGAATGCAATCTACTAGAAATAACTTTTTTAGGTTCAGTAAAATGAAGCTATAATAACTGTTTCATAACTTCCATATACAAAATCTTTGGGTTAGGCTAATTAGTAGTACTAAATATGCCCTAACTTCTCTATAACTCCCATGTTATTCATTACAACAAATATAAAGATGGAATATTAATTAGACCTATTAGCAATTTGGAAAAGAGGATATTGGATTAGCCACAATGATTTATGTTTTAATCCTACCAAATATTAAGAGAAATTTTGAAAACTTAAAATTTGATATTTTTGTCAGTTAATTAATTGGAATAGAAAGTAATTGTTTAATTTTATTTAAAAGAAAATAATTTCATTGTGTAATCACTAGCTGACATTGCAATTCCTGTATGGCAAGACTAATAATTGAAAAAAATAAAAAAAAGTTATTGAAGAATATATAAATGGTTTATTATAGGAATACATCTCAAAATCTTGTCTAGATGAGATTTTAAATAAACAAGTTTTATAAAATAGTAATATTTAACTCTGAAAAGGATAAATTTAAAATATTGACTTTTATTCAAAAACTATATAATAAAATATATTATTCCTGAGAGAATTATAAACTCTACATTATTCTTGGAAATTTCTAGACAGACCAGAAATTTTAATAATAAATTTTTACTGTAAACTTTTTTGTAATATAGTTGTGGCTGCATTAATATATATATATATATATATATATATTTTTAATGCTTTNACATACATATATACTTTAACAGTAAATTCCTTTTCTTCTTCTATCATTGTGTTTTCATTATGATCTTGTAAGATTTCTTTAATACTTAAAACTGAAATAACAAAAATTATGTTTTTGTATTACTCTGAATTAATTAGTTTAATTTGTTAAAATAACTATAATTTATATAAAGATAGTGTTAAATTATTTTATATTTCAACAGCAACCTTGTTCATAAAAGTCAAATATATTTAAAACTAATGTTTTCAAACTTCAACTACTTCAGAACAACTACAATATTTTAACCCTTATTAATTAATAAAATGAATACACTAGCTTTTAAATAAATAGCAAAGATAACAATTACTTTTAGTATTAAATTATAACAAACTAGGTAAAATTATAATTTTACTTCAGATTAAATTCTTAATTTTATATTTTATCTTGCTTTATTATCTTCCAATATATGTTTTTCAATAGACTTTCTTTTAAGTTTTTATCTTCTTCTCTTTTCCAATTTATGGATTAATCATTTAATATATACTACTTGATATTTCCATGAAGATGAAAGTAACTGTCAATATTCACTTTAAATTGATCAATATATTTTTACATATACAAAATATGACTTGAAAAATTTATGTAAAATTGATAAAAGGAGGGGTTATAGCTTTTCTTTAGAACACACTGCAGTTTCAGAATTAATATACACATAATATAAAATTTATCAGCCATATCCAAGATTTTAAAAATGACTTTTCTAAAAAATAGTTTTTCTACACTTCTTTCAAAGTTTGTTGCCAAATGTTCCTATTGGCAAACTCATCTTTTCTTTATTAAAATTTTAGTTTGTGTACTTTTAATTATATAGAATCAGACCAAATTTTTGCTAATAAATAAAAAAAGAACAAAATCCAAAAGATGTTAGGTTTATTATCCATCTCCAAGACTAAACAAAAAATCCAAGATTATTGTTAAAGAATGATAAATTTTTGTTGTTATAGCAGCAATTTTGAAAAAGTTTCAATTTTGAATTTAAAGTAGTCCATTGACATAAATTTTAGAATTTTCTAAATCTTAAGGACGGATACATAAATATAAGTAAAAATTTTTAAAGTTTAAATTTTTAATACAAATCAAACTCAAAAAAATAAAACAACGATAGTGTTGAATCAGAAGAGCTTAACATGGCAAGTGAAGAGATTTCCAAGTTTGATACTACAGAAAACAGTAATATAAAATTAATTTTACTTACAATAACAATAAATACTGAACAAAGTCTACCTGTTCAGAATTTGCTGTCTTGAGTTGTCTACTTTTTCAAAACAAAACAAAAAAAAAAAAACAAAAAAAAACATGACTGAGCATGTAAATGGCTGTTATTTGTCTTACCTGAACAACCATTAGGACGACGATAACTATGTAAAGTGGACTTTTTTGAATCATTTAACATCCTTCCTAAAAATAATTTAAAACAATGAAAATAAATTATCTGATATCATTATATAAACTTTATTTAGTTTTTTGTATTTTAATTATCTTACCTACTCTAATAATATGAACAATTATGTACAAATCTCTATTTAAATCTGCATTTCCTAAATCCTGTAAAAATTACAAATCATACATAGTGAATTTTACTTTATTAAAGTATTCATTTTAAATAAATTATACAAAAAATTTTATTTTTAAAAATATTAATAAAAAGTAATAAAATAAATGAAATTAACCACTGAAGAACATCTCAAATCAATAGTTTTTTGGATACAGCAACCAATAATAAAAAGTATAGTCTAAACAAAATGAATATGATTTATAAAATATGGTTAATATGTTGACTGCCATTATGATAAAAATTTCTGCAGTCACTGAAACCAGGCCTTTTTATTTGTTTAATAATTATAGAAATATAACAGGTTAACAACAGCCATACTCAATATAGCAGTTTCTTTTTTTAAAGATTTTAAAGTGTAAAGCAAGTGTGCCTCATGTGACCTAGATAAGATAATTTTAATGTTGACACCATGCAATGCACATATGCCTCGCAGTTATGCACCTCTGAACCTGAATATTCTAGGAAAAAGCTTTCATTGTTCACTACATATTTGTTCAGTTGTGTTGTTCATTCATATCAGTAACTATAAGCATCTAAAAGCAAGTGAAAAATGTGTGATTGTGAAAATGAACAAGCTCATTTAGAAGCATTGGTAAATAATATTTTGTCAAATCAAAAAACTTTTGAAAGATCATCTGAAAGTTACAAAGCAAGTAGTGGTTATTCCGAAACGTCTGATTCTCCTGTGCAAAAAAAAAAAAAAAAAAAAAAGTATGTTAATCTTCATCTGCTGGTCTTATATTATTATTGAACCCAGAAGATCATTTCAAACACCTACCTGAAATATTACTCAAATTAATAAGACAGCACACAATCATTGGTTCTGGTAGTGGTGCTTTTACCCACATTTCTTTATTTATTATTTACTTAAGAAGATATAAATACAACAAAATAAAACAAATATGAATAAGTTAATAATGCAAAATATTTATTTATTTTTATTTTCATTATTATGCCCTAAGAATTCCAGTTACAGTTGGACCAACACAAATAATATGTTCATTAGGCTGCCTACTTTTGTTCCAGAAAGCATTTCTATTATTCTAATTGTGTGCAACTCAGCTTGGAGTAAAATACTACACGTGAGACAAGTTTGTGACGTGGCCTAATCAGTTATGAGCACTGAGAGTCGTTTCACATGGCAGTCAACATGTTCACATTAGAGGAGTTTTGTGTCTTTACAAGTTTAATGATATTATTGTGAACAGAAACATACTGTAGGACTTAACTTCTGTTTATATCAATTAGTGGGTTAACAGTCAAATTGGGTTTCATTATACATTATTTTGCTTAAATTTGCAGTTTCTAAGAACCTATTAACAAGGTTTTTTTTAGGTTTTATTCGATTACAGCAACATGACACATGGATGATCTGCCAAGAGAAATGCCTCCTGGAAGGTCTTTTATGGGAAACTGGCCCCTATTTAGGTGTTACTAATGTGAAGAAAACCTTGAATACTCCACTTGACTAGAGCATTGGCAAGGCACAAACTCATGACCAACTACCAGCATTCAGTGGTTTTATACACTTGGCAACTTGTGGGCATGTATCAACAACATTAAGGCTATAGACACATTTCAATATTTTTTCTCAGAGACATTTTGTTACTCAGCTGAATTCCATTGCAATATATGGGAGTGCACATACTATGGCAATATGCAGCAATGGAGACAAAATGTTCTGGTGGCTTGCAACAGTTTGGCAACAAATGTCCTTGTGTATTGTGTGTTTATATGAGAGTACTAGCTGTTCCCACGGCTTTGCCCACGAGGATTTTGCAAGCAAACCCTATTTATATTCAGTATTTCAACAACCATAGTAATTGTTATATAATACCTACCACTGAGAATGATGAGAATTGCCAAGAATTAAACAAACTGTTTTCAATTTGATCAATTTTCTGGAACATTTAGTTCTATAATCGAATCAATATGCAATAACAAATTCAAATTTAAAACAGTTCGAACATTTTAAAAATCAAAGTAGATAAAAATATTTATAACAATGTCTGAAATGTTATCAATTTAATACACCTAAGTACTCAATGAAGACTAAACATAGTTGAAAACAAAAAATTGCATCTAAAATAGTACAGTAGAATCCATTCTTCCGGTTAAGCCTTAATCCTCTCCCTCTCCCCCTGTGGGAGAATTTTGAAAAATCCCTTCTTATTGTGCCTATCCATGGCACACCCTACTAAAATGCAGATAAAAACAAAAAAATTGCATCTAAAATAGTACAGTAGAAGCTGTTTTTCTGGTTAAGCCTTAATTCTCTCCCTCTCCCCCACAGGGGAATTTCGAAAAATCCCTTCTTAGTGCACGTTTTCATGACATACCCTAACTGTGTATCAAATTTCACCTCTTTAGGTTCAGCAGTTTGCTCTGGGTGATGATGAATCAGTCATTCAGTCAGTCAGTCAGTCAGGACAAGTAATTTTATATATTTAAATGCGCATTGTGTGTTTATATGAGAGTATGTGCATTGTGATTTTTTATTGCCATACCAAGTGTTGCAGCACAGTCAATGCTCAAGACATGAAAGATGAAGTTTTTATCAATAATGGCATTTTTGTCTTTTATGAAATATTCTATAAAACACAAAAATCACTATGGAAAGACCACTAGATGTAATAATTTATCAAAACTATTGACATTCATTTGAAAATAAGAAAAAAATTTAATGGGATAAGTTCATAGCTCTTCTTATAAAGTTAAACATTTTCTTTTTCATGCACAATCTACTAATATTGGATATAGGTAATAAGTGTTTTTTCTTCTTAGTTTTCTATGACATATCTTGAAAGCACAGATTCTTGCTACTGCTACAAGATCCATGTTGGAAATGAACAGTGATGTTTTGTTCCAATAAGCTTAGGCAGAGCAACAAAATGTTTTGTCACTCAATATGCCTAGGCAAGCAACAAAACATTACCAAGACAAAATATCACAGTGTGTCTATAGCCTAAGAGAAAACTTACTATATATAAATTCATTTTAAATGTATTAAAATTGTTTATTCAAAAAATATTCTTAATTTAATTTTTGTATCAGTTTTACAAAAAAATCTAATAATACATCAAAATAAAATAAAATTATAAAATCTTACCATAAAAATTGTGCTATGATTATGAACTTTTTCTACAAAATGAGACATACCATATTTGGCAATACTGACTAGAAATCTCTCACTGAAATTTAAAAAGAATTTTCAAATCTTAGTCATAATTAAATATTTAAACACTTACAATCTATTTATGAAAAAATATAAGATTTAGATAAAAAATAATTTTAATGGTAAATAAAATATGGCAAATTTGAATCTTATAGACAACTATATATATTAGTATTATAATTGTTATAATAGCTACTTTAACATGTTAAGATACTTATTTAGTTTGAAGAATATATATTACATCAATAAAATAATTCAGACTAAGATTAATTCCATATTTACTTTAAAAATGTGAATCACAGTAATCACTTTCACTTCAGGAATATGGATTTCAGCAAATTAACTTCTACAATATAAATGGTAAAATCTCTAAAATTGAATTTTCTAAGCATATGCACATACGTAGTACGATCCAAAAGTTCGGGGACTTGGCTTAAAATTCCTTACCTTAAAAAGTTTATATTGCCGATGCACAACCACCTTCAAAGTAATCACCTTGGGCAACAATACAGTTTTGCCAGTGCTCGTATAACTTCTGGAAGCACTGCTGGAAGCCATTTTTTGAAACCTCCCGTAAGGCCTCCTGCGATGCTGCTCTCACCTCATCTGATGACACAAAACGGCATCCCTGCAAATGCTTTTTCATTGATGGAAACAAATAAAAATCACACGGAGCTAAGATCGGTGAATAGGCAGGGTGTGAAAGCACATTAATTTGAGATTTGGCGAGAAACTGTGTGACCATTTGGGACTGATGTGCAGGTGCGTTATCATGCAGAAGGTACCAGTCTCCACTTCGCCAGATCTGTGGCCGTTTACGACGAATGGATTCCCTCAAACGACGTAAAATGTCTAGATAATTGAGAGACCAACTCAACATTTTCCTCATTCCGTGAAGTCGAAGGTCGGCCAGAGCGTTCATCATCTGCAATGGATTCTCAGCCCTATTTAAACCTTTGATTTCATTATGATAGAATCACCATACACCTTTCTTAGCAATTTTAAAGTCTTCATAGATGTTTTACCTAAACGCTGACAAAATTTAATGTTGCAGCGCTGTTCTTGAAACTCCATTTTTATTACGTCGCCAAACAAAGGTAACTATCTCTGAAAAAAAGCAACAGCACTCGCGGTTTAATCACATGGCACGGGCGAAATCAACCTGAACACGTAGGAGTAGTTTGATAGAATCCATTTCATACGCTGTAACTTTAAATACATGCTTTTGTTGTCATACATTACTGCAGTCCCCGAACTTTTGGATCGTACCACGTATATACATTACAGCATCGAATATCCGACTCAATTGGAGACTGGGGTTGGTTGGATAAATGAAAAAACTGATAACCGAAAAGTATGAAAAAATACATTATTAGTATATCTCATTTAATTAGTATATTGCTATTAACCTACTTTGCGTTGAATTTTCATCAATGTTAAGCCCAATAAAAATTTTTTTAAACAATAATCATCGCTATTGTATCATTTTTTTTTTTTTTTTCATTTTGGTAATCATCATTTCCCCAATGGGGATCAGCATCACCCTTGTCCCACTATCCGTATAACAAGGGAGACTTTTCTTTATTCAATTTATCTTGTATATCTTGTACAATTATAACAATAAATAAAATAAAATAACAAATATATACAAAAGGCTCTTGCCTTAAACCTAGTACACTTGATTACAATACCAGGATACAACTCGTATCCCTTTCACGACAATATTCTCCGCGTGAAGTTCTGCAATTCCCGCACTAAGTCCCTGTGTCTGAGGCACATATAAAGGTCTATCTCACTTGTATGAATGACGTCTTTCGCTTGCAGCTGAAATTGCAGACGTTCCTGTTCGTACTTACTGCACTCTTCCAGAAGATGCTCCAGACTATGCATCCCGTTTCCGCACACACATAAGGTATCCTGCACTTTATTGATTCTTTTGAGATAATCTTTCGTATTGCAGTGATTCGTCAGAAGCTGAGTTAAATAGAAGTTTGGTGTTAGCCATCTAAGTTCTCTAGTCCGTTCTTCAACACTGGGAAGCAACCAAAAAGTATGTCTACCATTCCTCCCATTACTCCATTCTTCTTGCCATATTTCTACTGTACTTTGTCTTAATCTCCTTTTTACATATGATATTGGGATTTTACTGTACGTAATCTCTTCTAGCTGTGTAGCTTCCTTAGCTAACTCGTCTGCTCTTTCATTTCCTCTAATGCCACTATGGGCCTTAACCCATCTGAACTTAATCTGTAAATGATTTACCCTTATTAGGGTCTTCATCTCTAGAGCCATTTGGTTTGTATCTGTAAATTGTTGCAATGTTTGCAGGGCCGCCCTGCTATCTGTATTTATTATTATAGAGCTTAAGTTTTGACTACTGGCACACCATTTTACTGCTTGTAACAAAGCCAATAATTCCGCCTGGTAAACCGAGCAGCGGTTATCCAACCGGAACTGCTCGTAATGTATAATTTTATCCTCTTTTTCGACCAAGAAGGAAGCTCCTACTCGGTCTTCAACCTTCGACCCGTCCGTATAAATGTTTATTTCACTACTTTCCCCTTCTGCTGCTGTCATTATGGCCATTCTATGATATAACTTGGGTAGCATTGTAGCCTTTGGTTTTGTCTCGTATTCCATACTTTCCATCTGGTCATCTAGTATCAGAGGTAATCCTCTTCTCCACCTATAACAATTTGCCTTCTCCTTTAACACCAGGTCTATGGGTGGCGTTCCAGCAATTACTAGTAACGCATCTGTTGACACCGTTCTAAAGCTTCTTGTCAACCTCAACAGAGCCATCCTTTGCGCACTCCGTACTTGTTTCTTAATTACAACCTTCTGTGCTGCCGCATACCACACCCCAGCAGCATACGTTATCTTGGGGATAAATGCCCCTTCATATATTGTGGCTAAAGCATTTGTGCTTAGGCCCCAATGAGCCTTAGCAACCCTTGCCAATGCATTAAATAAGTTTGTTGTTACATTCCTCATAGCTTTAACATGTGGTAGCCATGTCAGACGGTGATCTAGTATCACCCCCAGATACTTCATCTGCTTTTCCACCTTGATGCTTTCGCCTTCCATCTTTAGGGTAGGCGTGCGCTTATAAAGATCCGGGATAGATCCCTTTGAGAAAACAATCGCTACTGTCTTTCTGGGGTTCGCTATTGTATCATTAAAAATTATTTTTAAATTATTTTATTGCTCACAAAACAAACAATCACTCATAATTAGAAAATTAAGCCTTGTTTAAATACCGGCCAGCTAAAACATGCAAAAATTTAACAAAAATAATATTAAAGTAGCCAAGACATAGTCAAATATTGTAGTGCCACATCACTAGCAGACATATGAATTTGCCAACTAGAACGTGGTCAATTAACCGATGTGACAGTTGATCAGGGGTTGGATAATTGATGCTCTACTGTATTTATATACTAGCAGATGAGCCCAGTGTTGCTCAGGCAAAAAGAAGTAATGATAGCAAAGATTAAGATTATTAGATTATAGCCAATCTTACCCATTTTCACCAGGTGCAAGAATTAGGTTCCCCCCTCTTCCAACACTAATTAGAGAATTTTTAGATGGGTCTAAAAATACAAAAAACACATCTAAACCAGTACAGTAGAAGGAAGCTGAGTTCTTCAGGGTAATCCTTAACTCTCTCCCTCCCCCAACAGAGGAGATTTTGAAAAATCCCTTCTAGCATACATTCTCATAACTTACCCTAATTGTGTACCAAATTAAACTTTCAACTCCTAACAATTTGGGCTCTGTGCTTATTATTATTATTATCAACACATCTCAATTATATAATAAGATCTGCTAGTGAAAAAATCCTTCTAATGTACTACTAATGATAAAATTGAATGCCACCTCATGCTGATCAGCTTGATGATGATGTCATAGAGTCAATTTGATATATTGCATAACTCATGCTATATCAATTGAATATCAATGTTAACTTAGAAATATGCACATAACTACCTCTATTGCAGTCCAAAATAAAATATTTTTTTCAAATTGAATTTTAATATGTTCTTTGTACAGAAGAAAAGCAACCAAAAATCACTGAAATTTGAATTTATCATGTTCTTTCTTCTAGCAGACAATATTTTTCTTTTCTCTTCTGTACATGTCTTATTCTCAAAATTTCAGGAAAACTAAGATTGTCTGGTCAGCTGTCATGACAACAGAAAAAAAATAATGTAAAGAAAAAACATCCAGAATGGTAAGTGTTATTGAATTTATTGTAATATATTTAATTACAGTTGTCCAATAGTTAAGCAACAAAGTGAAAAAAAGCAGATAAAAAGATAAATATTTATTCCAGATCAGTGAAACTTTCACAGAGCATGGGGTATAACAAAAGACACTAACAAGATGAAATGCAAAGAAAATGATCAAAAAATAATTAAATAATACAGGTAAACAAAAACATATTTTAAATGGCAAAAAGGTTCAGTGGTAGAAGTACGTCAATATGAAATTTGATCACCTTTGCTGGAAATATATGCCCTACAGTGTCAATTCATGCCAAGAATAAGATCATCTATGACAGTTTGGAGGTATGTGTCCATTCACAGAACAAACATGCTCTTAGCTTGTAAAAGTTCAAGGGGAGTCACAGAGAGAAGCATCACCCAAGCATGTCTCATACATACTTGATGGGATTCAAGTCAGATGATTTCACTAGCCAGTTCATATGAAGCAATGTTTCTGAGCCTAAGTAGTGGCCAACAATATGAGCCCCGTGAGCTCACATGTTATTGTCCATAAAAATGGCATGAAAACCCATGGCTGCAAGATATAGGCAAAAAGTGTGCAAGGATATCATCTCTACACTGCATGCAGTCATACTGCCATGAGGGAAAATGTGGAGATCAGTGCAGCCACTGACAGCAATCCTTGCCCAAACCATTAAACCACTGCCTCTGTATGCATCCTTGCCCAAACCATTAAACCACTGCCTCTGTATGCATGCATTTTGCAGATGTTACTAGTGTGATATTGAGTTCCAGGCATTCTCCAAGCCACTAACAATAGGGAATCAGCAGACTAAACCATGACTCATCCATGAAAAGCACATCACCCATTCTTGTGGAGACCAGTTAAGGTGATTTCACCTTAACTGGCCTCTACAAGAATGGGATGCCCATCTATGCAGGGGCATCAGTGAGACAAAAAGTGCTGGCCATCTTGCATACAACTGGACTGCACATAGCCATCTATAAACAGTTTGCCAAGATACTGCTCTTCCTATCAATGCTGCAAGGTCAAAAGCAAGCTGATGTGCAGTGATTTACAAGCTGAAGTATCATGCTTTCAGACACAGCAAATGATCATCCTAAGTGGTTGTGACTCTTGGATGTCCACTTACTGATCATTGCAACACTATACCTTCATTTTGATATTGGTTCCATAGGGATAAATGATGGAACTATTAACATTTAGAGCTAGAGCAAATTTCCAACTGTCCTTTTGAGATGCTTTATTGTTTTCCCATTGTATGCCAGCACACATATATTGTTTCCAATTTTTTCAAAATTTGGCTATCTTGAGTTTCATTCTGGAGTCCATAAAGAGGAGATACAGGGTCTGCACAAAACAAGCCTTTTTATACCTGCCACATTTTCTTGTTAAAAATGTTGATATGCAAAATTTTTTGTGCAGACTAGTTTCTTCAAGTGTATGACTGTCATGCATGCAAATTTTCAGCTACACATTTCTTTGCTAAATATTTTTCACTTCATTGTTTAACTTTTAAACATGAATTTATCTTAAACAAATTAATTCAAGAAATTTACTAAAATTTGGAATGAATAAAGTTACTCAAAAAATATTTCTAAATTAACACTGATATTCAATTCATTCAGTCTGGGTTATGCATTATGTCAAATTTGATTCCATGACAGCTTCATACTGGCTTGAGGTGGCAATTCACTTTTGTCATTGACTATACAATAGTAACTGCTTTTACTTTAACTTTTTATATTTAACTTATAACTTAATAAATGAGAAGAAATCATTGAATTGTTAAATATTTGAACAACAAATAAATTTACCTAATGTACTCAGCCTGCTGAGCATCATAGAGAGAAAAATATATTTCAACATCTTCCCCAAGGTTATAGCTGAAATCTCTCATACATAAATATAAATGATGGGTTAAAGAATGACGGATTTCTTTTTTTCGAAAAGTTCCCCTTGCCTATAAATAAATTTGAAAAAATTTAAAAACTCATTTCTTCTAATTAATTTGGTAAATTATATTTAATTTAATGTTACAAAAATACAACATATTTTGCAAATTTTTACTAATTTTTTATAAATTTTTTATAATTTATTTAA